TCCTGCTGAGCCGCGACTCTCCCTGTGCCATCCCGACGCACCCCAACACCCCGACCCACTTACCTGTTGAGCCCGTAACCTTCCCCGAGCCATCCTAACACACACAACACCCCCTACCCGCTTACCTATTGAGTCGCCGCTCTTTCCAAGCCCCTTTTACCGCCCCAACTCCCCTTAGCCACTGTCCACGGTCATGCCTGCCCGACCTTAGTAGGAGATTAGTATTTGTTGAGTTTTCTTGTCCTATTTAAGGCATGATTGTAACCCTAGTTTCTTTTGCTTAATAATATATGCTTCTGTTATTGTAGTTTGAGTTAACTACAGTATTAGATCATCTTGGAAATCTTTTTCCCAAACTTCTCTCCAAGTTGAAAATTGGTCCAGTGCTTGTTTTATTGTTGCAACTCATTACAAGCTTCATCTTTATTACTTTAAATCTTTAATTTTAGCCTTGATAGTTTATTTCTACCATTCCTAAATTTAACTCTTATTATGAGTTTGGTCTTGTTTAGGTTCCAACTCAGCTTTGTTATGAGATAGAAGTAGCCTCTCACTTTGTCTCCCAAATTTTTTTCTTAAAATTAAGTTTGCTTTAATTTGAGACATGGCTACTTTGAAATGATATTGCATTGTTATAATTTTAGGTGTGGGAAGCAGCATAAATGTTAGTTCTTTTGATATTGCATCTTTTTTATTTGGTCACTTGTGGTTTCTCTTTTATTTTCGATCTGTAAAGAGTAAATTGACTGCTATAAGAGGAAAAAAAACCCTCTAATCATCACCAAAATTCTAATTACTTGAGTCATAAGCGTCAAATTTCCTGAGTAAAATTTTCCTTGTGCTCCCCATTGCTATAGAAATATACAATTCTTTGGCATGAACTCACAGCAAAGAGTGGCTGAATCGTATGTTGTAATCGTTGGTCTTGGAGGAGTTGGCAGTCATGCTGCTTCCATGCTGTTGAGATCTGGTGTTGGCCGGCTTCTCCTTGTGGATTTTGATCAGGTATCATTCTTTTATAGTTTATGTCATTGTTTTTCAGGTTATTAACAAATTTATCCAAGGCTGTGTATATGTTTTTTTTTTCTTTTTTCTTTTTTTTAGATAATTTTCGGGTACTGTCTGAAATTCACTCAGTTTTTGTTGTGACTACTTGTTACTATGACTATTTTTTTCATAAGGTGATTAGTTTCTCACATACAATTTCAGGTAAAACGTAACAAATAAAAATGTGAAGATTAATAAATACAAAATGTTTATAGATTTAGGACCAAAGGGAATGTTATATGTTACAAATAGTATAGAGTGACACCTTTGGAAATTATATGCCTATATACTACACAATTCCTCGAAGTTTTTGGCATGGATTTTTCTGTGTTCCTTTTAGAAATTTTCTCAAGTTGATCATATGCCCTTTTTATTTTTCCTATATACTTTTCAATCAATGAAGTAATGAAGCTACATTTTTTGGAACCAAAAGCTGAATTTATGTTTGTTTCTATGAAACACGGACATCAATGCTAGACAATTGTCATAACCTAGTTTGAGAGATTGGAATACCAATGAGGGAATAGACGTTCAGCTGTTAATTTTATTTCTTTTTTTCAAATATTATAAATTGTTTAACAATAATAGCTTCCAATACCAATGAGAGCCACTATATAAAACCACTTTTGTTCATAAACAATAAAAAATTATTCTCATCTGAATCATAATCTAATATACATGTAAAAATACACAAATAAAACAACTTACAAACTATTACATCTTTTCTTTAAAGTTTATATTCACATGTCCATCTTTTATTGTATACACATTTTTATTTTTTACCCATTTAACTTTATTGATCATTTCTTAAAAAATTAATATTAGTCAATTGGGCGAGTCATACAATAACTTAGTAGTTTATTACAGTTCTATAATATTGAGATTTTAATAAATAAAAAACATGCATTACAAGTCATCAAGTATTAATATTTTATTTTGTTAAGTGTTTTAAACACGAACCTTTGTAATTTCTTTAAGAATTTTAAAGAATATATATCATTCGATAGCGTGATTTTGGAAGATGTTTATCATATAATATTTTATTTGATAGAATACATCCGTAATTGAGGCATCACCAAATTTGTACCATTTATGGAACATCTATGTCCAAAACCCTTCTCAAATTTCAGGTTATGTAATAATTTTGTGCAACAATCTTCCCCAACCAATGCCATTAGTGAATGAAGTGCATAATTCAATGTACATATTCATTAACTTATGATATTCTTTTTATTTTATTATTATAGATATCCTTCCAAAAATGTCAATGCATGAGGTTGAAAGAAGATGCATTTTATCAAAATTTTATAACTATATAAAGACATTAATTCCAAAAAAAATTAATTAATCATTTTTTAATATTATATTATTATGTTAATAGTATCAAATGCATATATAGCGGAACATAATAGTCAATGAATCAACTTCAGAGAAAAATTGTAAATTTGGTAAGATAAAAAATTAAATAATATAACCTCGAAGGACTTATTTTTGCTCTTTTTATACTTAAAATCCACCCTCCTTAGTCGAATATTTATAATTGCACATGAGAAATTCGCATCAACTAATAATATTTTAACATTATTGTTCTCAAGAGAACTTGTCATCCCCATCTTTTTTTACAGACTTATAGAACAACCAACAATAACATAAAGTTGTGCAGTGGAGTTGCGAACCCTAGACGATCGTTCATGCAATTGTTTGCGCATTTATCTCTGCTTACAGTTCTATAATATTGAGATTTTAATAAATAAAAAACATGCATTACAAGTCATCAAGTATTAACATTTTATTTTGTTAAGTGTTTTAAACACGAACCTTTGTAATTTCTTTAAGAATTTTAAAGAACATATTTCATTCGATAGCGTGATTTTGGAAGAGGTTTATCATATAATATTTTATTTGATAGAATACATCCGTAATTGAGGCATCACCAAATTTGTACCATTTATGGAACATCTATGTCAAAAACCCTTCTCAAATTTCAGTTTTTGTAATAATTTTGTGCATGTACATACAATCTTCCCCAACCAATGCCATTAATGAATGAAGTGCATAATTCAATGTACATATTCATTAACTTATGATATTCTTTTTATTTTATTATTATAGATATCCTTCCAAAAATGTCAATGCATGAGGTTGAAAGAAGATGCATTTTATCAAAATTTTATAACTATATAAAGACATTAATTCCAAAAAAAATTAATTAATCATTTTTTAATATTATATTATTATGTTAATAGTATCAAATGCATATATAGCGGAACATAATAGTCAATGAATCAACTTCAGAGAAAAATTGTAAATTTGGTAAGATAAAAAATTAAATAATATAACCTCGAAGGACTTATTTTTGCTCTTTTTATCCTTAAAATCCACCCTCCTTAGTCCAATATTTATAATTGCACATGAGAAATTCGCATCAACTAATAATATTTTAACATTATTGTTCTCAAGAGAACTTGTCATCCCCATCTTTTTTTACAGACTTATAGAACAACCAACAATAACATAAAGTTGTGCAGTGGAGTTGCGAACCCTAGACGATCGTTCATGCAATTGTTTGCGCATTTATCTCTGCTTGATCGTTTCCACGAACCCTAGACGATTGTCCATCGTTTCTATGATCATCTCCTCATGATGTCAATGCTTTGTTTTCGCCTCAAGTGCATCCAATGTGTTCATCTAGCTTTATGAACATCTCCACATGACTCTCTTTGTGTGATTCTTTGTGCGTTCTTCATTACACTTAATTCTACTTGAGTTTGATGGCATGTTTGCCACATGAATGGTATGACCTTTTGGGGAGCCTTTTTGTGGGCTATTTTTGACGTCAGAATCGTCTCATGGAATCAACATGCTGTGTACCTAGGGAAGCCCCAATCGCTACGCCTTTTTATTCTCTTTCACCATGCTTTTTATTCACTTTTTGCTACCATTGACTTTTGCACTTTCTCTCATGTTTGTGGTCATGCTTGGCACTTCCGTCATCCTTTTTTAGGGTTTCTTTGCATTCCTATTTTCTCATTGTTCCTTGATATCCCATTTTTTCCTACATTGATTTCTCAGTGGACCTTGGTTGATCCCTCTATAGCATCTCCATCGCCTCATGTTGTTGCCCTAATGTCTTTGGGACATTTTCTCTTTCATCTTTTTCGATAATGGAGCTCCCTCATCTCATCCTCCATACTCCTTCACTAATGTGATTTGTGGTTTGAATGTAGCAGATAATCTCTACTCTTCACTAAAAAATCCTTCACTTTTTTATCAAATTTTAACAAACCACTAACATAAATTGTCTTATTGATTGAGATCCATTTCACACAACTTTATAAAACAAGATTGAAATATCAAATTCCACCAAAACACAAACCATAAAGGGCCTAGTATGAAGAGTTGTTGCAACATTCACCTATAATGAATTTTAAAAATGGAAGCTAAAAAGAACATTAGCGAGTGGTGAACATTAGCGTAGAAGAAGATGTTAGAGTAATGAAGAAAAATGCAATAGAATGATATAAGATCAAGTTGATATCCTGCTTTAACGTGTGGTGAACATTAGCGAGTGGCAGTATATCTTTTTTTTTATTCCTACCCCTTCTAGTGTAAAAAATATGAAATCCATTATCTGCAAGGATTCAACACTCTGAATGCTCCAACCAAAATAAAAATCTTATTCTGACATCAAGAATAACCCACAAAAAGGCTCCCAAAAGGCCATACCATTCGTATGGCAAACATGCCATCAAACTCAAGTAGAATTAAGCGCAATGAAGAATGCACAAAGAATCACACAAAGAGAGTCATTTGGAGATGGTAATAAAGCTAGATGAACACATTGGATGCACTTGAGGCGAAAACAAAGCATTGGCATCATGAGGAGATGACGATAGAAACGATGGACATTCTTCTAGGGTTTGTGGAAACAATCAAGCATAGATAAATGCGCAAACAATTGCATGAACGATATTCTAGGGTTCGCAACTCCACTAAGTGGGGACGGCTACAAGAATCCTTTTTCTCCATTCATATATTCATTTAATTTTAATAAACTAAGATCATTATTTATATAATATGCCCAAGTCTTCTTGGTCTACCCCTGACTTTCCTAACAAAACTCGAATCTAAAATATGTACTCTCCTAATCGGATCATCAGATGGTCGACATTTAATGTGACCAAACCATTTAAGATGCTGGCTCTAATTTTGTTGTCCACTAGAGCTACACCAACCCTATCACATATATATTCATTATGCATCTTGTCTCTAAGTGAAAAACCACTCATTCACTTAAGTATTCTCATCTCGGCAACTCTTAACGTAGTTTTATGCTTCTTTTTTAAAATCCAACATTCAACACCATATAGCACTGCAGGTCTCACCACCATCTTATAAAATTTTTATTTCAATCTAAGCAGTACTTTTTTATCACACAATAAACCCGAAGCATTCCTCCACTTCAACCAACCAACTTGAAATCTACTAATAACATCTCCATCTGTATTGCCATCACTTTGAACAATAGGTTTGAGATATCTAAAGTGTTCACTTCTTTTAATAAGTTAATCCCCTATAGTTACAACTGTCACTAGAGCTATTGCTATTAAAATTACATTCCATGTATTCAGTTTTAGTTCTACTCAAACGAAGGCTTTTAGACTCCAATGTAGACCTCCATAAATCAAGTTTTTACTGAGCTCCTTACTGAGCTCCTTCTCTACTGAGCTCCTTCTCTCGTCTTATTCCCAAGAAGGATATCATCGACGAAAATCATGCACCATGGTAAATCCTTCTGTAATTGTCCAATAAGAGCATCCAAAACTAAAGCAATACAATATGGGCTTAAAGCCGATCCCTAATGTAATCCAACTAAAATAGGGAAATATTTGGTCAATTCTCCTTCTGTTCAAACACTAGTAACACCTCTCGTATACATATCTTTAATCACTTCAATA